CAGGAATGCATCCACCTCTCCAACTTCTGGTAGTGCACGTGTTGAGTTCAGCAACGTACACTAACTGCTTTCAACTCTGTATTTCATCCCAAAGTTAACTGTTATTTTAGCGGACGTTAAGTTTCAAGTCAAACAGTCACATCTTTTAATTATGGACCTCAGAAAAAGATGCTTTCATTTAAAAAAAGACCAAGGCAACTCTGGAAATCATCTCCACAGTTTGTAGAGGGACCTCTGTGGAGCAGTCCCAGCCTACACTTTGGAAGTCGTGTTGGTTGAACCAGCAAACTGAGGGAATGACAGACTCCGCTGCCACAGACTGTCACCTCTAGGAACTGAACCACAAACGTTGTCTGCACCCTGCTGGATGTGGACACCCCCTTATTAGCTGAAGCTGTTGACATGGGCTTTACAAAAGTAACTGTGCCTTAACGGCGTTTTTGTTTTAAAACCAACTCAGTTATTATGGATCAGCAAAAGAACACATCAGTACAAAAAACCAGATACGCTGCATCTAGTCAAAAGCCTCCGCTTTCTTGCTAGATGTGAATTATCACCAGCCAGCAGAGTTTGTTTAGCGAAAAAGAAACTGCGGACCAAAGACACAGAACGCAAACTACAGTGGAGACTTGCTTTGTCACTTTGGTAACGCTCCCCTCCAGTTTTGCAGACTGTTCACAACCAAGGGAAAAAATGACAGCAGCATCACATTCACAGGCTCTTGAATGGTAATTCCCGGATCACAAGGAACTTCATGGAATGAACGTGCTGTGGAGATTACTCTGGACATTGCCACCTTCCTCATCACCCGCTGTAGCCAGATCCCTTTTTAGGACCCCACAACAGCAGCTGTTTTGTATTTATTTGTGCATTTATATGCAGCAACCTAATCTTTGCTACAGCTTATGTACAAAATTCCTTAAAAATTCTTCTCCATCAAAAAGCATCACAAAAATCCTCACAGTCTGTAACCTATTGCTTTTAGGAGCCAAGAGTTACGCATAAAACGGACAAAACAGATACACCTTGTATCTCAGTCTAAACACTCTGAAGCAACAAGAATGCAAAGAAGCAGTCAAAGGAAAGTAAACATTTTTGGCTACCAATACCTGTAGCTTCTGAATATAAATGGCAGTGACTGTTCCACCTAGTATCTTATCTAGCTCTGAAAGCAAACTGACAAAGAAAGTCAGTTTCAATTACATTTCGGGAACAAAAGGGGAAACAACTCATTCCAACAGCGCTCAATCTTTCTCCCCGAGTGGAATCTTTCTAAGGTTGCTCCCTGACCACTGAACTTTCTTAAGCTTCAGTTTGACTCATTTTGGGCCTGATACTCCCTTTTTCGCCGTGAGATGTTGACTTACCTCCTGAAGTAAAGCTCATATATTTCTGGTTGTTAACTGTTTCTTTGGAATCGTAAAATTTGAGGACATCTAAAACTGCTTGTGGGTTCTTCTTCTGCTCTAGTTTTGTTATGTTGGAGGTCTGTAGTAGCCTGGCCCACTGCTCTGGAATGCCCTGTAAGACGTCAAGCGGAAAGAATACTAATTTAGATTATCCAGCAGTCACAGCAGTACAGTTCTTTACCAAGATCCCATGCTACCTGTAAGATTACTTCCAGAAATTTTGATTGACACCTTACATTTAAAATTAGAAGCTTATACAGTAGATGCAATCATTCTCTTCTCTATCAAAATACAGAGCTAAAACCAGGATCCAACTTTAAAAAGAAAAGAAAGTTATGACTGTGACAGGAAAAAAAGTGCATGAAACTCATCTTTAAATCAATTCTGCTCTTCCATGGAATAATGACTTAAGGCTTAGCTTGTTTTCCTGGTGATTCAGTGCAGACATAACAAGACTACTCTATATTTGTGGACAACACAGTGTATTTTAGGAGCTTTACACTGGATTTTTAATGCTTAATAATGCAAATACACGTTGCTGAAATGATCGCTGCTGTCTGATTAAAAGGTAAACCCCACCTTGATATAATAGTTTTCAGCATATCAGGGGAGCACCGAGAGGTTAAGAATCTGAATTTAAATTCTCAAAATTGTAGCACTCTGTTGTAACACAGCTGCTGCTAAGGATGCCTCTTTTTAGAGCTCCTGCAGCTCTCTAGATTCTCTGCTGTAAACATACAAAAAGCAGGGAGTCAGAAAACAGGCTGACAGTGCCAAAGCGTTGCACGAACTCTCAAATATCTTAAGAGCAAGGGTGGCATTTGACATGCGATCCAATCGCTGAAAGCCGCAACTCTGCGTTGAAACTACATTGATGAGAAACTGCTTTAAATATCCAGTATAATTTCCTAAATTTGAGAGCCTGTAATTTTCCCCATTTACTGCACAGCCAACATCTACTAGCGAATCATAGGGCTTACGGAATAAAAAAACTACACCTGAAGTTTACCCTTGGTGCCACCCCAATCTAGATAAACATTTTAATATGGCTTCTTCCTAAGAAGTTCTCTGCAAAACAATGTGTGACATGGGCCTCCAGAGTTTCAGATCAATGAAAAAAAAGTGGGATAAGCCAAGCAACAAATCTACGGCACACACATCAACCTGCTGCTGCAGTGCTATGACATCTCAAAGAAGCACTTTGATGCAAGCTTCTTTTGGGCCTGTGACGCACCTCTGGGAGCTTCCCTGTGCACATCTGTGAGCCATAGAGATCTGGCTGTAATGGACGTAAATAAAGAAAGAAAAGAAAGTTAAAACAGAATGTGGGACAACTTAGATGGTGGTAGGAGGTGAAACCAATGGGCCAAAATGGGGAAAATCCCATCTAAAATGGGAGTTTTGAGGTAGGTACACCAAACAGATTAGGTGGTGGACAGGCTACAGGGAGGCAGCTTTAGGAAAACAGAAAAATCACAACTGTTCCAAAGTTTGGAAGCATCATTCCCCCTCCTTTCTTTATAAACCATTTTTTCTCTCCCTCATAAAAATACACTACTGAGGATTAACGGCAAGTGACTGGAAAAATTACTCGTGATTCCTCTTTTTAATTAAAAAAATAAAAAGAAAAAGAAAGATCTGGGCTTCAGCCGTTTGTTTGTCTAGCTTTTAAAGTCAGGTTAGCAGTTTTGAATGGCTCTACACACATTTTTCCAGTGGTTCTCCAGCCCCAAGATCACAACTGGCCAGCACATGAGTCAACAAAGTGCAATGGAGAAAGTAGCTGTCAAGCTCAGATTTCATGCCGGGAGGTTGTGTTGTTACAATCCAAATAACCTACATGTGCCAGACCGAAAACCAGGACAACTCTAAAGAGATGCTTGTTTAGATTAATAATGTGCAACTTCCTTGGATCCATACCCACAACTTTCTCCCACTTGCTAATATCATAAAGTTGAAACTTGAAAAGTTTGGTGGGTGACCAGGTTTTATTCTAGACTGGGGATCAGGAAACTGTTTCAAAAAAACATGCTCTACAAAATCCACTTCAACATCCCGCAAACCACGCTTCTTCCTTCATTCAGAAAATTCAACTTTTTCTTCAAAATAAATCAATATAAAGCTCTAGAAGCATGTTCCCACCAACAGTTTCCAAACAATTTTATTTTGCACTTTAAGCTCTACTTCTTAGCAAGTGTGGTTGCTCCAAGCACAGTGAAATGGAGATATAACATACGTTCATGAGTAACAATACAGTTTGGTGCTGAAGCCTGAAAGCCAAATATCAGGAGCCCATGCAGGTATTCCCAACTTTGATTTGAGATGCAACTAACAGCAATCAGGTAATACAGCCAAGGGGATGATTGTTAGGTGTTAGAAAATTATTCAATGCATTGCACGTAACCAGTAAAGCAGACACCATTGGCATGAAAACTGCAATTATTTGAAATTAAAAATAGGTATTTGCACATTAATTGCACATTCCCATGGCACTTCCAAACTTTTGAAGGAGACAGACAGTGGGATCACTAGACAGTGGGAATATTTTTATGTGACGCGGCTAGCGGCAGCAAAAACCCTTCAGCAAAACATACTCACCACACGACTGCCTGGCTGATATACTAGTTGCATCCAGGTTGGGACAAATCAGACGTGCCAAACATAACGCCCAGATACAAATCTGGGCATTATTAGGGGGGTGATGGCTAGTCTTTAACGCTGCAAAAATTCCATTGGTCTGACTGACGTTTTGCTCCACTAAGCCTGCATTCTCAGACTGCAACACTGCACTTCCACGCTTTAGGAACAAGTACTACTGTAGCAACGATTACCCAACACAGTGTACCTGTACAACAGCAGCCAGCTGAAGCCCACTGTTTTGAAAGGGAAAAACATATTAAAAAGAAATTGCTGCTACAGGAGTAAAGTTATATATATTTAGCCAAGAACAAGTCTTTCATTCTACAAAAGGCCGGGACCTGTGCATGTGGCATCTGTCACAAAAATCAAAAAAATCTGATGCTGTAAACTGTTTTGACATGGTGGATGATAACAGTAATATTAAAACTGATTCAAATAGCAGTCTTGGAAGAACTGGGATGCATTAACCTCTGCTTCCCTCCTGTCTGTTCCAGCTGGCAGGGACACAAAATTAACTGGGACCAGCACCCCCCAACTGGTGTGCCAAAGAGCATGATTGGGATCCATCTGGTTTGCACAGAGCTGGAAGAAAAGGGTCTGAAGCGAGGGGCAGAGATCAAGGCAGAAGATTGAAAGGAAGAAAGAAAACAAAAAAGGATGAATAGTAAATGAACATGCAGTGGGGAGAACAGTGTAACAAGAAAGGATGGAAAGAAGTAAGGGATGCAAACATAAAACAGAAATAAAAATAAAAAAACAGAAAGTAACAGAACATAACGTGATACCCAGATACAGAGACTGGCACAGACAATTAAATTGGACAATGAAGCAGCTACAGGGAGAGACAGAGGAAAAAGGAGAAAAATTAGAATAGTACGGAAAAAACAATTCAGAAAGCTCTGAAATAGCAGATTTATGGTAAGTTTCTGAACAAAGATGAGCATATCTGGACATTCTAAATGACCATTTAATCAAGCCTTGGTGTTTGGCACTGAATAATTCTTAAAAGTAGATTTCCTAAGTGTCATCTAGTTTTAAAAAGCTAATAAACTAACCTACATATTTTAAGCAAAATTCTATTTCACAGCTACTAAGGATGTTTCAATTTCAGTTCTCCTTTGAAGACATGCTGCCATCCAACAAGTGTCTTCTTGCTTTTATTATTATGACTACTACTGCTATTCCTACTCTAGCTTTTACAGCTTTCTGAAAGTTTTTGAGAAAAAAAAAAAGTAGCAATCGAAGTAAAAATAAGAAAGAAATCACATTTGGGGCTCACATTCTGCAAACTACCCATCCTTTGTCCAGGCAGATGATTTGTCCCGTCCTGGCTGTTTGGTTTATGCAGCCAGTCAACGCTAGCACACTCTACAGTTTGACGTATGGTGGTAACACAGTCTGACCACTTAGCTCACAGGGTACTGACGGTTCGGAGAGTTACTCACGCTCCTTCTCATCTTCACGGTTTAACCAAATGCAAGCTGCCTGTCACCTAAACTTTACTGATTAATGGTTTTAACACCGAACCAGTAGCCTGATAGAAATTGCTTTGAAGTGCCCTGCAGACTTCAAGGAGCTTCTATCAAGACTCATTTTCCCCAACACTTCATATACTTTGTGACTGACTGCTACTTTACTGTTGCGTACGGCCTAGAAATGTGTCAGATCACCTAGTCTAGGGAAATATTTTGGAAGTTATTGAATTCAAATGAACGGACTTTCCCGATGCTGCAGCGTTCTGAGCATCTCCAAGAGCTGTCTGCAGAGCAGCTGGACTTTGCACTTTGGGGCTCATTGTCTAGAGTAAACCATACACCGTGCACATGTGTGCAGGTCTGTATGCTTTTCCAAAGACAGTGAAAAACCAAAACCTGTAGCAGCTTATAGGACTGATAAAAGCATACACCTAACGTTCCTCCTAGTTTTCATTTTCCACAGACACTCTGCTGATAATCCTTAGAGGAAAAAAAAAAAAAAAGCAGCCTGAATCAGAAGTAAAACATGCCAAATCCTAAGCCCACCAAATAAAAGTCTCTTTCTTCACAGCCTGGCTGCTGTCATCCGAAGCTTCTGGCAACAGAAGGCTTTCTTAACATTGTGAAATAGAAGTTTGAGTAAGCGTGCAGTACAGAGGTTACTTACTGTGAATTCTCCAGTGACGGCATCAAACCCCACATGAATCGTATGTTCAAAGTCTGAAGGAAGAGAGATCTCAGGACGTTCTTTCTCTTTCTTCTTATTGGCTAGAGGCAAAACATTAACATGCACTTATTTTCTGCACAGCTTTTCATTCAGAAGTTTTCACAATCACTTGTGGTCAAAACAGTACTTTAAAACTGGAGAGCAAATCAAAGTGAATCTTACTTCACAAACAGACCCAAGTTTCCACAAGATGAGCCTATTATCCCTGTTTTGAGAAGGTCTGGAAGGTGACACTTGATTTTGATTTTCTTCCAATCAATGTCACAGTGGCCAAAAAACAGAGATTCATTCATGAATCCCTAGGTTCATGAAACAGCCGCCTTAGGCCATCTCTAACCACTATTATTTCTATTATCAGTTGTTTTTTCCATCAAGTTTTCATACCCAGCTACTAACTCCTGTTTGACTTTGCATCCATCACGTGCATACGCATGCCTGTTCACATGCCCCTCTTTCCTCCAGCTGTTTTGAAGCTGTGGTCAAACTCAGCCACGTCAGATAGAGGGGAGAAGTTTTATAAATAACCAGGTTCCTACAAGTCCTATGAAAAGAGGCAGCTGGGGAGAAGACAAAGATCCTATTCCTGCCTTTTCGCTGGGCAAAAGGCTGAACCAGCAGCTCTGTCTTTATGAGAAACCAGAGAATCTGCACAGCAACGAAATCCCATAAACGCCATTGGAAAAGCTTCATTTGAGCCCACGATTAACTAAGAGAGCTAAATCCATAAAAACTGGCTTTATTAGTCGCAAGGAATTCCTTGTTTTTAAATCTCTCAGTCCGTATTCACAGAGTTTGGAATATCTTATTGAAGGAGAAAGACTTGAAAGTCAGTCAAGCTGCATACGTTTCTCCTCTAACAGCTTTTGAAACATCTTTTGTGGTCATCCATCTCCCGTGGTTTTCGCCACTTACAAACCTCGCTGCAGTTCAGTTTTATTGACGTGACAAAGAATGAATGGAAGCAAGGCTGATAGCTGCTGCCTTCACCCTGATGCATCAAGAATCCATGTTCAGTGAGATTTTTCTAAAACACAGTGACGGTAACGTCAGCTCTGGACTACTCCCAAACACACAGATAAACGTAGCATATAACACACACACGCCCGCCACGTTCAAATATCCATCCTACCAGCAGGTACCTCAAGCATTCGGCCTCCCTGGAGAACCAGCATGCTCCAGGAAAAACTGTCACGTGGCTGAATAACACTGTGCAGAGCTATTTGTAGGATCTTCTTTAATGCGAGTGGCCTATCTGTAACTGCTGAGAGAGGGAACTGCCATTCTACCAAATACATTTGTCATTTCAGTGGAAAAATTACACGCTAATGAAAAGAATAAATATTACAGTGCCCATTTGCAGTATGTAAAAGTTGTTACCACAAATTCAAGAAATAAGGCATGCATAAAACACTCCTGTGGAACACCCACAATCATATCACTGCCAGTCTTTAACTGAGTGCTCTGCACCTCAGGGTCCCACCTCTCCCCTGTTCCCTTTCCTACCAGTTTAATGTGAATTTGATTTACACATCCTCATCATGGTCCTAAGGAGGCTGGCTCTGCAGATCTGATGTGACATAGCTTCACATTAATAGCTGTGAGAGCTCCAGAGATACATGAGAGCTTTGCACTGTGCCTATCACAGCAGGGCCCCAAATCAGGATCTCAAGCTGTGAGTGTATTACCATTTATCAATAATAATAGGAAAATGAATACACGTTATCATTACACCTCAGTAGGAGAGTAAAGAGCAATAGCTCGGTTTCTGTTTTTGCCTTCTGCATTCCCTAGCTGCAGCATTAAAGACTGCTAGGCTCATTAAAAATGACTGGATGGAGACAATTTTTTGTGTGTTTCTTTCCACATGCAAGCTGCTCGTTCTACCAGTACCAGCCAGGGTGGAGCGCAGCGAAATCCATTTTCTAGCACATCAGCCTTCTTACATACAGCACTTTGCCCATGGACTTAATTAATAATTAATATTTTCATTAGGTGTTTTAGTGTTATGTTTGCCAACTTCATGAGTTTATCTAGGGGACTCATGCAAAGGCTGAACTTACTGTATGTACCTGCATCCCTCACAGCCTGGCTCTTTCTTCACAGACAGCAGCTCCATGAGGCAAGTCACTCTAAGTAGTGCTTTATGTTGTTTTAGAGGAAAGCCTTCTGCATGTTTTTCTTCTTCCATCTTACAGCTTCCTTTAGTTGCAAGATGCTCTGCCCTTCATAATTAAAGTCCAGAGTATTTTGGATGCTCCTAATCCTTTCTCTGCTTCGTTGCATTTATCCTCATTAAATAATTAACTGTCAC